TGTGTGCGTGCGCGCGCGCGTGTGTGTGTGTGTGGGCGTGTGTGGGCGTGTGTCGGTGTGTGCGCGTGCAGGCGTGCGTGTGTGCGTGTGTGTGTGCGTGTGCGTGTGCGTGTGCGTGTGCGTGTGCGTGTGCGCGTGCGCGTGCGCGTGCGCGTGCGTGCGTGCGTGTGTGTGTGTGTGTGTGTTTGTGTTGTGGGTTTTGGGTCCTGGGTTCTGGGTTCTGGGTCCTGGGTTCTGGGTTCTGGGTCCTGGGTTCTGGGTTCTGGGTTCTGGGTGTGTGGGGTTGTGGGGTTGTGGGTTTGTGGGTTTGTGTGTGCGTTTGTGTGTGTGTGTTTGTGTGTGGTTGTGTGTTTGTGTGTTTGTGTGTGTGTTGGGTGTTGGGTGTTGTGTTTGGGTGGGTTTGTGTGTGCGCGTGTGTTGTGTGTGTGTGTGTGTGTGTGTGTGTGTGTTTGTGTGTGTGTGTTTGTGTGTGTGTGTTTGTGTGTGTATGTGTTTGTGTGTTTGTGTGTTTGTGTGTGCGCGCATGTGTGTGCTTCCTGTGGTTCTAAGAGAGTTTGGACCCTTGGGGAGTCTCCCTAGGGATTTCCGTGGCCACTTGGAGCAGTCTTGGGCCTTTTGGACATATAGTTCTAGCTATCTTGAGTCATCTTGGAATACCCTGTGCGATCTTGGAGCCCATCTGAGAGCACATGGGTTTATAGTTGAGCCGTTTTGGGACGTACACGACCACATTCAGGCCTTTTTAGGCAGTCCTGGGGGGCAGCCTGGGCGCCACATTGACCCCACCTGAGTTCCAAACGGAACGCAACACCGTGTTTACGGTGTGTTTTGGTGCGGCTACGCACGCCCCCTTCCCGCTTAACGAATGAAACTAGACACGCAAACCAGTAATTTGCCAACTAACCAGCGATCCTACACGGCACGCCACGGTGGCCCCTCACTAGGGAAATTCGCCCGCAAGTGCTCGCGATCATGGAAGAGGACGAGGAGGAGGAGGAGAAGGAGGAGGAGGACGGGGAGGAGGGGGGGGAGGAGGAGGAGGAAGTGACATGTTGGCAGATGTTGGGGTTTTTGGGGCCCCTCCACGCCTCTTGGGTGCCTCTTTTGCGTCTCTCGGGCGCCTCTTGGGAGCCTCTTGTAGCTTCTTAGCGACGGCTGGCCTGGCCTGAATGCCCTCCCTCATCGGGACCGCCACTTCTCCCTGGCAAGCCGCCTTTGGTAAACATTATCTGCGGGGGGTGGCTCACGTCTTCCAGACTTCACACTTCGCAGGCCCCCTGAGATGTTGGCTCCGTGTGATTTCAGAAGCCCCGATGCGGGAGCCAAAGACTGTTTCGCACCTTACTTGAGGTGTCGGGTTTTCTGGTCTCTCGGTTCTTTCCGAGGGTCGTCATCTCAGGGACGATGGAGGCGAGGATGTATCTTGATTGGAACCCTCAACCTCAGGGGGGGCTTTTGATTATATAATGTGTTTCGCACTTTGCCTGCGCCCTCTCTGACGATGCCCCAGTCGGAGGAGGCCGACGCTCAGCTTAACACTGCCAGGAGGTATGACCAGTCCGTATTTGACAGATCTCGTGCTCCGCTCCAGCGTGGCTCGCCTGGACTGACCTGGAGTGCGCTTCGAGGTACGAGTGATGTGTATGTATACTTACCCACATCCACATGCACCGCATGCTTGGGTCCCAGGAGTTCATGCTCCCAGGCGGTGGAGATTCGATGGCTCCCCGCCTCGCCCTCTGGGCAAAAAGGGGGCGAGGGAAGCTCGACGCTGCAGCGCGAGAGAGAGACGGCCAAGGCCCATGCCTGCGCAGCGGACAGGGATCTAGGCGTGAGCTGCCTGCGACGGCTCGGCTTGCATTGTGCACTACGCTCTCGAGGTGCCAACAGGGGCCCCTTTCCGACGAGTAAAGACAGCGGGGGGGAGGGTGGGGGGCGCGGGGGAAACTACAATCAGCATCGTCAGACCGAATCGTTATCCTATCCCCATCCAGGCCCCCATCATCTCACGCCCCGCGTTGGAGACATACCCCCCGAGACCCGAAGGAAAACATCTCATATCCCCATCTGGGGGGGGGGGCAGTTAAGTCGGCCAGAGGGGCCCAGGCCACGCCGCGGGGGATCGGGGCCAGATAAAACGGGATGCCCACACAGGGTACCGACTACACGTGAGAGTGACCCTTCGCCAGTGTGACCTGTAGGTGTGGGCCCATTTGGTGCCCCCCGACCGCTGAAAGCGATGCGATAGCAGCGGCCTGCGCGCTTTAGGCTCGGCTCCCTCGCGTCCCCCCCGCGAAGCCGCGCACCAGAGGCCACCCTTGCCTAATTACAGCAGAGGCCCATGCCAAGAAACACCCTGCTCCTGCCTGCCTCCAGGGTGCCCTGGGTTGCCTGGGCTTCGCTGGTTTTGCGATGGAGAGCGCCACGTTCCTGAACCGGAGAATCGGTGGGCGTCCTGGGGCCTCTGGATTGGCTCCCACTTGCAGGGCCACTCCCTGGCGCGCAGCCGAGGAGCGACGGGGCGAGCGGGCGCGAGGGCGAGAGGCGCGGAGCGCACAGGGCTCGGCCACGCGCAGCAGAGGGGGGGCCGGGGGAGGGGGAGGGCTCCTCGGGAGCGCCCCTGCTTCTCGGAGGGCGCGGGCCCCGTCGATGGATGCAGGGCCAGCGCCTGCGAAGCACCGGCCGCTCCTGCTAGGAAGCCGGCCCCCCCCCTCTCCCCCCCAACGCGGTCGTGCGCGCCGCCGAAGAGGGGGGGGGTGGGAGCAGTGGAGCGGAGCGGAGCGGTTCCCGAGGGCCGCCGGCGCCGCGGCCCACCTTCCACCCCCCCCTGCGGGAGCCTCGGAGATGGAGATCAATGCCTTTGGCATCGCTGGGACGTGTGCCTTTTTTCTCGACGGGGACGGTCGAGGAGCATGTTGGGTCATCTTGCGGTAGAATTCACGCGCGAAGCCGAAACATGCACGTGGAGTGGCCGCCCGAGCGGTGGCGAGTGCAAGCGGGGGTCAGCCAGAGCGCCTGATCCTGCAGGATCCTGCAGGGCCAGGGGTGCATTGACCTGGGCGTGGGCGCAGGATCCTGCACGGTCCTGCAGGATCCTGCAAAATGCCCGACAGGCTCGGGTTCGGATGGACCCGGATCGGTGGATCCCCGACCCTCTGGGCCTCGGGGCGATCGAGAGGGGCACGGCAAGCAGGGGCGCCCTCGAGGGCGCGAAGTTCTTCGCGCGATTCGGCTCCGCCTCCTCCCCGTCCTGTCCTCTTCCCCCTCTGGGGGCGGCGCGAGGGCACAAAGCTCTTCACGCCGAGGGCGCAAAGTTGTTCTTGCGCTTCGCGCTGCGGCTCCGATGCCTACTGCAGTGGAGGCCCATGCCAAGAAACACCCCGCTTGCCTCCAGGGTGCCCTGGGTTTCCTGGGTTTCGATGGTTTTGCGATGGAGAGCGCAACGTTCCCACACCGGAGATCAGTGGACGTCCTGTTGTCTCAGGGTTGGGTTTCTTGTGGAAGGTTTGTTGTGTTTTGGCCTCTGCTGTACTCCTCATCTCCTCTGGGGGGGCGGCACGAGAGCGCGAAGTTCTTCGCTCTTCGCGCAGCGCGAAGCGCCAACTTGGGCGCCCTTGGAAAGAATGGGCACAAAGACCAGTAGCATGTCCTTCCGCCTCCTCCATTCTTTGATCCCGTCCCGTTCCATCTCACGTCGCTGCCTTGTATTCTGACGGCGTCCGCCGTCTCCTTCTCCTCGACGCCCTGGAGTACCAATAGTTTTTCCCAGTTCGTTCCCGGACCCTTCCCGGAGTCTGAGCCGGGCACTGCTTCTTCTGCTCAACCACCTCCGTGGCCTCTGCGGCCCGCGGGCTCTTTCACGCACACACACACACACACACAGCAAGGACAAGTGGTGTCCTGTCCTGTGCCCGACGCGGGCTCGGTGCGGACTCGACGCGGATTTGGCGAGGACTCGACGCGACCTCGACGCGGATTCGACACGGATTCCACGAGTCCGACACGGATTCGACACGGATTCGGAGCGGACATGGCCGCGACGGGACAGGCAAGGTCCCCCGGAGGATGCCACATGCTGTGTGAGAGAGGAGGCCGCCTGCTCAGCAGCGGGCGCTGTCGGTCTGTGGACAGCATCTGCTGTTGGGCATCGCACCCATTTTTGTCCGTACCCATCTCGGGCGTCCAAAGCCTCTGACATCTTGGCATCCCCTCTTGTTGCGCCGCGAAGCAAAGCCACGACGGAAGGTCTTGGGCCCTGATCGGCTCCCGAGGGCCCTCGCCCAATCAGTGATTCAGGTTTGCGAGCGTGGGGTTTCCACCTGACCTCAAACGAGGACGCATTCGAAGCGCCCACGCTCATGGGAAGTGAGTGTCCTGCGCACCCCCGGATGTATGACTGCATGGTTGTTGGGGGGGGGGGCCCTTGCTGGGCCGCGGCTCCGCCAACAACATTGCCCTGGGTGAAAGGCCAGTCCACGGGAAAGGGCCTACGCCACGAGTCATGTCGCAAAAAAGTCATGGCGTGTGGTGCTTGGGCCGGGGGGGGGCCCAGGGCGAAGACGGGGGTCAGGTAGGCATGGGATGAGGATGGAGCGTTCCAGAAAGTTCTCAGAGCCTTCAGAACGCTCTGGAACGGCCGCGGCGCCCGATACGTCCTCCAGACCCGCCGGCTTTCAGAGATTCTCTGGATTTCCTAGATGGGGTCGGCGCAAGCTGGGGTTGGAGGATCGCGCCGCATCGCCGATGCATCGGCGATGCGGCACGATGTGGAGTCCGATGTCCTCCACGCCGACGCCGCCGATGCGGCGCGATCCTCCGACCCCGATTGCCCAGGCCTAATTAACTCAGGAGGCTTCTAGATTCTAGATTTGGGTCGAGCATGTCCCCCTACAGGCTGATTTTGGACGACAAATAAAATAAAAATGAAAACAATATGTCATCATGACCAAAAAGAGTCAAAAGATCGCCCCCTGACTATTTTTTGCTATTTTCGAATATTCCTCCTGTACGGGGACAAGCCCGACTTAATTCTAGATTCCCAATCGCCCGTTTTCGTCCAAAGGTGTCCTCCTCCCGCCTTCGTCGTCGGGCGGAGGGCGGCCGGGCGGCCCGCTGCCGTGGCCTCCTCCTCCTCCTCCTCTTCCTCCTCCTCCTCCTCCTCCTCCTCCTCCTCCTCCTCCTCCTCCTCCTCCTCCCTCCTCCTCCTCCTCCTCCTCTCCTCCTCCCTCCTCTCTCCTCCCTCCTCCCCCTCCTCCTCCTCCTCCTCCTCCCTCCTCCTCCCTCCTCCTCCTCCCTCCTCTCCTCCTCCCTCCCTCCTCCCTCCTCCCTCCTCCCTCCTCCCTCCTCCCTCCCTCCCTCCCTCCTCCTCCTCCTCCGATCGCTCGTCCTCGTCCGAAGGTGTCCTCCCTCCCGCCTTCGTCGTCGTCGGAGGGGGGGGGGGTGGCGGCCCACGGCGGCCCCGCGCGCTGCCGCACGCGGCGGCGGCCTCTCCGCGGGCCCGCCGCCGGCGAGGAACCGCGCCGACCGGGAGAGGGCCGAGGAGGCGCGGGAGGACCGCGGCCGCGCCTGCTCCGGCCGCGGGCGGGGCGGGCCTCGTCAGGCCCTAGGAAACCAGGACACAGATAAACCAGGACACGGAAAACCAAGGAAACGACATCGTTTCCTGCAAAGTTACGTTTTTCAGCACCCGTGCATGTTTTGTTTGCTGCACTGCAGGATTCGGGATTGTGTCCGGGTTTAGGGGGGCCTTGCAGGCTTTTTGAGGCTTGTGTCCAGGTTTATTCTGGAAGTGCTGCAGTGCAGTATTTTGTTCGTGCTGCCGTTTGGAAAAATTGGTTTTTAGGGATGTTGGGTGTCCCGGTTTAGCGTGTCCGGGTCTACGGGGCCCTGACCTCGCTCCGCCGGCTGCGCGTGCCCACCAGGGGGCAGGGCTCTGGGCCTGGGCGCCGTATTGCCGGGCTGCGGCCGTGTCTTGTTCTTCGTCTTGGCAGGGAGGTACGGGAAGGCAGGTGGAGCAGAACGAAAGACAGCGTGAACAGAAGACGAAAAACAACGTTTAGGTCCAGCCCTAACAAGTGGGGGGGGCGCGGCGGGGGCGGCAGTCTAAGAGTCGGCGGCGAGCAAGGGCTGGAAGTTTGAAGGAGAGGGCCTTCTCAGAAGGCGGCGGGACTTCTCAGAAGCCCTGGCGCCTTCTGAGAAGTTTTATGCGTCTTCGGGGAAGGCTTAGAAAGCTTCTCAGAAGTCTGGGGGATTTCCGAGCCTTCTGAAGAGGCCAGCCCCTTCTTACTTCCCTTCCGCGCTTGCCGCCAAAAGAGGGCAGGGGGGCTTCGGAGAACAGGGGAGGGAAAATGGCAGGAGCACATGTGTATCAACTCGGAGGCCCGCGCGGATTGCTCGGGTCGGCGCTGTGGGGCCCACACTGGGGCCCCCTTGGTGGCGCCTCTGGCGCCGCCCCTGGCTCGCTCCGCGCGCCTGGGAGGGGGGATCAGCTCCGATCCGAGAGATCCGCGCGGACCTCCGAGGCTTAAGTTCATGCCATTGTTTGTTCCCCTAGAAGAGGGCGGGGGGCGTCGTAAAAGGCAGTCGGGGACAGCGTGGGTGGCTGGGCTCAGGAGAGAGATGCGTCGGCTCCCACCCCGCCCAGGACCGTGCGGATTCGTCATTGTTGGCCCATCGCCGATCTATCGACGGTGTATTGATGACTTCCTGGCATGTCTCCCAAACCCTCCCGCATCCTGAGCTGGTCCCCGCCCGACGTTGCCCCTCAAGCAGGAGTCCTTGTTAGGAGTGCCTGGATGCTTCTATGACGGCGTTGAGCTGACGGGACGGACTTCTCAGCCACCCCTTTCGCGCCACCCTCATCTTAGCGCCGCCAAGGCACGATGATGACGCCGCATCGCCGATACGTCGGCGATGCGGGGAGATCCAGAGCCCTGTTTTCTCCATCCCGACGCTGCCGACGCATCGGAGATGCGGTGAAGGCACCCGACCACTTTCTACTCCAGCTCCATGTTGGGTGCCCTCCAAGGGTAGGAGGACGCCAACTGCACACCAACACTAGCCCTCTTCAGGCCAAGCTCGGACCCAGGACTCGCGTATCCGTCCCCTTGGCCAAGCCACGGGGGCGCATAAGCCGATCTGGGTCCAGGATGGGCCTGGCCAAGATCGGGGTTGGTGTATAGTTGTAAGTCGGGCCCGTCCCTCTGTAGTAGGAAGATTCAGAACAGTCAGAAGATAGTCTGGGGACGATTCTTCTATATGTTTAAGATACTTGTGTATATGTGTTGACAATTTTTCATGTTTCGTCCAAAATCCGCCTGTAGGGGGACATGCCCGACCTGAGTATAGTTGGCGCCCTCCTGAAAACGGGCGGGCTGGGCTCCAGCGGACCCTCGCGATGCTTTCCTGCCGGCCGTTCCTCGTCGGCGGCGCGGGAGGCCAAGGCAGCGATGGACGGACTGATCGAGTCCTGGGTTGCTCTGCCATGTTCAGTCTTGTTGACCGACGATGTTCCAAGGGTATTGGCGCTGTGCATGTTTGTTCACTGGAGTACCATGTGGGACCAGCTCTAGAACAGAAACACGCCGTAGACGGATCTTCCCTTTCTCCGACCTTGTTCTGCGCCGAGCGCCAAGGCCGCGTAGTCTATAGTTGCATCCACCCCGAACGTGGCTGCATACGTAACGGCGTCCAACGTTTCAACAGACGCTTGCGGCCAGAAAGCGAGAACGGTATCTGGCAGTGACCCCAGATACTGGCCTTCTGGAAGCAGGCAGGCTTGTCCCTCCCCTGGGCCGATCGGGCGTTGCGCTGCGCTTCGAGTATCTGGTCGGCCACATGAGTGCCCTACCCAGAACTGCTTCCCCCGTAGAATCTGCCAGGCAGATGCAGGATGCCCGCAGGCCTGCGAGAATTCGGCGTCTGCTTCGCAGATTCGACGAACGTGCCTCTTCTTGGTAGGCAGTGTGCTCATTGCTCCCTGTTCCTGCCGCGGTGGGTGACTGTCCCAACTTGGATGGTTGCCACGGGCCTGTGGTCGCTTGTCGTCTGCATGTGGTGCCGCATGGAACTCCTGGAGCCCCTTGAGCGCCCCTGGTCCTCAAAAAAAAAAAACATGCCTCTTCTTGGTCAACCACTGTTGCGGCCACGCGCAGAAGGGGGGGGGGTCGGGGGGGAGGGCGGAACGCTCCTCGGAAGCACCCCGGCTTCCCAGAATGGCGCGGACCCTGCCCACCGATGCGGGGCCGAGGCCCACAGAGGAGCAGCCTCCTCCCAACAAGAAGCCTTCCCTCCTCCTTCTCGCCCTCCTCCTCCTCCTCCTCCTCCTCCTCCTCCTCCTTCTCGTCCTCCTCCTCCTCCTCCTCCTCCTCCTCCTCCTCCTCCTCCTCGTCGTGCGCGCACAAGGAGGTAGGGCGAGGGGGGAAAGCTTCTTTAGAGCACGAGGCTTCCTACACAAAACGGAAAACAATGCTGAGGTCCAGCCCAGATCCCCTACCGGCCGGACCGAGGTCGAATGTCGGGGCCAGATCGAGGTGTATAAAGGTCTTCGAGGATCTCTGCAGGCGGTGGATCTGGGTAACGTACAGTGGAGGCCCATGCCAAGAAACACCCTGCTTGCCTCCAGTGTGCCCTGGGTTTCCTGGGTTTCGATGGTTTTGCGATGGAAGGCGCGACGTCCCCACGCCAAAAATCAAGGGACGTCCTGGGGTCTCAGCGTTGGGATTCTTGTAGAAGGCTTCTTGTGGACCGACCTCCACAGTATTCAGCCCCGCCAGGGGGTCCATTGCACTGTAGGTTCGCGTCGTGCCGACCAGCAGCGACCCCGCCGCCGGCGTTCAGTGTTGAAGGCCGCTGGCGACCCAGAACCGGTCGATGCTGATCCATGGAACGTTTCGGAAGCGGCCGATCGTTCAAGGTTGAACGATCCCCGCGGTGTCAGGAGCCAACGCCGGGGTCGGCACGGCACGAATTTGCCGTATCCATACCCACCGTCCCCAGATGGCAGGATTTCGGCGTCGCAGGTGGTAGATAGGAAGGACGACGCGCTCGTCACCGCTCGGACGGGTGTGTGAGTGTGTGTGTGTGTGTGTGCGTGTGCGTTTGCGTGAGCGTGTGTATGTTGTGTTCTGTTCTGTTATGTTCTGCTGTGCTGTGCTGTGTTGTGTTGTGTTGTGCTGTGCTGTGCTGTGTTGTGTTGTGTTGTGGTGTGGTGCGGTGTGTTGTGTTGTGGTGTGGTGTGGTGTGGTGTGGTATGGTGTGGTGTGGTGTGTGTGTGTGTGGTGTGTGTGATGTGTGTTTTTCCTCGGCGAGGCCGGGGCTGGAAAATCTGCACCATCTCGAAGCATCTTGGACACTCTGGAGACAAAGCGCGCACGAAATGAAACACTGCGCGGGGAAGGGGCGTCCGAGCGGTAGCAAGCCTGGGGGGGGGCTGGAGCTCAGGACCGGTGCCGGGAAGTCTCCCAGACTGCAGGGCTCTTGTCTAGGCCTCCCAGATGGGCTCGGAGTGGATGGGGTCGGAGGATGGCGCCGCATCGGCGGTGCATCGCCGATGCGGCTCGCTGTGGAGCCCGTGTTTCCCCACGCCATCGCCGCCGATGCATCGCCGACGTCGCCGATGCATCGCCGATGCACCACCGATGATCCGGCGATTCATCGGCGATGGGGCGTGACCCTTCGACCCCATCTACTCGGACCCCATCTAGGAGGCCTCTAGTCTCAGGACCGGGGCCGGGAAGTCTCCCAGACTGCGATGCCGTTCTCCCGGCCTGCGGGGTCTCCGGCGCCGCCCTTGGCGCGGTCTCCGCGCGCCAGGGAGGGGGGGCCCAGCGCCGATGCGAGACATCCGCGCGGACCTCCGAGTTTTCATGTTTATCAGGAGGGGGAAAAGCACACAGACACAATTCCTCGTCGATCCCCAGGAAATACACGAAAATGTGGGAAGTGGGGGGGAAGACAAAAACCCAGAAAATCTGGGGAAATATGGGGAATATGGTGATTTGTGAATATTTATTTGTGTGTCCCAGGGCCCCTTCAGCTTAGCCGTTCATTCTTCGCTCCCCCATGTCTCTCCCTCCTCCAGCACGTTCCGTGGCCCGTGGCCCCGCCTCGGCCGCGTCTCCCAGACGGCAGGGCCCTTCGCCTGTGATGCTCCAACCTGCTCTAGCCCCGATCACCAGAGAGAGCCTCGAGCACCCAGAAGGTACCGAAGAACTGGCGGCTCGAGCACCCAGAAGGTACCGAAGAACTGGCGGGCTTTCACGCATCGGGCCCTGGGGGGCGAGGCTCGCTCGACGCTGTGCCGAGACTTCTCGGAAGTTCTGTCCGGGATGTGGTCCCCGAGCGCGAGGGGAGCAGCGGAGCCCTTCGCGGCCTCCTGCGGCACGGCGCGCCCTGGCCTTCGCTCGCCTCGCCCGCGCACCCTGCCTCGGTGGTCGTCCTTCCTCCTCCTCCTCCCTCGTCGTCGTCGTCGTCCGTCGTCAGCGTGTCGTGTTCGTCTCTCCTATTTCGTCGCCGTCGTCGTCGTCGTCGTTGTCGTCGTCGTCTTCCCTCCTCC